GCTATTGATGTTTTTTACTATTTTTAGAGCTTCTGTTACAGGGACTGTCATGATGAGTGACTCTACTTAGTATATATCATTCAGAAATGAGCATCCAAAAAGGGTTTTAGATAGCTTCTTCCTTTTTATCTTGTGTTTGACAATAACAGGGACGGATGGTGATGCTTAGGAGTGTTATCCACATAAGTCATAGATTTCAATACAGGTGTGATTTTTTTTAGAGTTCAGTGAGACATTTTTCATTTATATTAATTTCCCCTTACTAACACCAGCACTGTCATCACATTAAGCATGTGAAGTATGCGCTAAGTTTGCTATAGAGCAGTAGAAATGGAAACCCATTTGAAGATCCAGCAGAAATGGAAACCATAGTTCATCCTGTATTCACATCTGGCAATGGTATAATCTCAACTTGATTCTATCCATCATTTCAGAACAACCCTGAAAGGTGTTGAAGCCTTATACTTTAAGACTCTTTTCCATTCTGAAAACCCTAATAGAAATGCCTGAAGCAACTGTGTCTTATATTAAAGGCTTCCTTTCTGAAAGTTACATAGAATCATAGGCAATTTTGCTTTCCAGTCACCTTTCACATTGGATTGTGTACAGGCCTGTTGTTACAGCATTTAAATAAAGCTTGACATCTCTTTGGAAGCTGCTTGTACTTTTAATTCCTCTGTTCACTTCTGTTCTCGGTGAAAGGACGTGGATTATTCTCTCACTTTACATTTGCTGCTGTGCAGAAGCTGACATAATGTGGTGCAGAGAGAATCAAACATCAGCTAAATTTCACTATATTTGTATCTAGTCTAGCTTTCTGAATTTTGCCCTAAATGTTACACAAAACAGGAATGAATTAGGGAAAATATCCCTCCCAATGCAAGCCATGCTTAATTTGTATCTGAAACATGTTTCCAGCTAGAAAAATATTTAGATGCTTCCTTATTAGAATAAAAACAGTGCTGCTTAGCAATTATGTCTTAGTCTAGTCGCAGAGTATTAAAAAAGGAAACTGCAGAGGTAAAGTTTATCCTCATCTCTACATGACCATTATGGTTTGTCTACAAATCATTTCCCATAAAATATCAGTCATGTCACAGAAATAATTGAAATAACAGAAATATTCAAGATGCTTAAGACTAGAAATGTTTTGGATTTTCAGATTTTGAAATATAAACAGGATATCTTGGAGAGTCTCAACATGAAATGATTGATGTGTCATACACTCCTAATACACATAGCCTGAGGGTAATTTTGCACAATATTTTAAATAATTTTGTTTATGAAACAAAGTTGCATGAATTGAACCACCAGAAAGAAAAGATGTTACTTCTTAGCCACCCCTGGGACCAGTTTTAGAGTGTTTCAATTTTGGATTTCCAGATAAGGGATACTTGTTCTGTATTATCGAAGACTTAATCAGTAAGGCAGTTTGTTGCAAAATACCTATTAACAGTTCTAACAATTTTTTTGAGAAAGAATGGGAAAAGATTTTGTTCTCACCTGAAGCTTTATGTAGTTTATTTCTCTGAATTCTGCTAAGCACACTTTGCCTTCTCAGAATACTTTTCTTGGTTGCGGAAATAGAAGAAGCATAATATCTAATATGTATGTTTGTACTTTAGTAAATGATTAACACAGCCATCAGATATTATTCCCCTTCTCTGCAGAGGCTTCTGAAAGACAATGATTTAATTGAACACCTAGTTTCATCATGTTGTGACTAAATCTGAGTAATAATTGTGCTACATTGCACATTGAACATGCCAGTTAAAACATTAGAAAGGTTTGATAGGGTAAGAATTCAGTTTAAATCTGGATAATTTTGTGGATATGTAAAAAAAAACTCACTTTGGTTGTTAGTTAGTTGTTTCTTTTTTCTGTTTTCTGTTTTCTTTTTGCATAAGTTTTTATTAAGCACTAGCCACCCCCTGCCATGCATTGCTGTGGCCCAGTCTGTGTCTATGTGCTTTGCGTGTGTATATGTGTGTGTGTGTGTATATGTGTTTGTGCAATATATATATGGTTTTGCACATGCGTTGTAATGTATTTTTTATTTTTTGGCTTTTTAAGTCTCTTCTGCTGTGTTTTTCAGTGTTTTTATGAGTGATTGTCACTCATTGGCTTGATAGGTGTATTGTGTCCAAATTTGTTGTCTGTTTGTCCAGTGGTTTTTGAGTTATGTTAATCCCACAAATGAACATTACATTTTTATTTATATAGATTTCCAAAGACAAAAAATTACACAAAGAATAAAAAAGAGGCTGACCGTAGTGGAGTTCTGGTTAGTAGATTAGACCTAGATAAATGTCTACTAGGTTACCGAGGAAGAGGAAACGAGTTGAGGGGGAAGAGAAGCCTTATATTTGTTATAGTTATTACATTTATATCTTCTTCTCAAGTACTATTATAGACATCATCTAAAATTTTGAAAATTCCATATATCCTCTATAACAGAAAAGAACACATTCTTGTCATCCAATGTCAAAACTGATAGTCATGTCTTCCCATACTGTCCAATGTTCTTCCTATCTTCTCTTTCAGTTCTCTACATGTCTTTTATCTAATTTTTAACTATTGCTATATAAACTTAAACATTCAGTTCAATTTCTTAGTAAATTAATATTGTGTAGGTAAGAATTTACTATGTTACATTGTCATCTTTTTCTTCTTTTTTCAAAAAACATTACACAAACTATGTATTTGTGTGCGCGCGCGCTCGTATGTGTATGTAGTTTTGAAATATCTAAATAACAAAGATTTGAAATACTTAGTTGTTACTTGAATTAAGCATTAATCTTAGAAAGATTGTAGTTAGAGTATGATAGAAATGGCCAACCCCCCAACTTCAGTATCTGAATACTGGGTGTTTTTTCCTGTTTCAGTCATATAGGTATATGTTTTTGGATTGTTTCTGACCTCTCTTTTGAAGCTTTCTGAAAAAGTGTGCTTGCCTTGTTCTGCAGCAATGGGTTCCATATACTTTTCATGTTCACTTTTAAGGAATTTTTCCTCCAGATTGACCAGCAGTCACTTTTATTTGATTATCTGTCATGTAGTGAAAGAAAATCTTCTGCTTGTTCAGTCAACATCATTCTTTGTTGTATCAGGCTTTTTATAAACATGCTATAACATTTGTTTTAGATTTTTCCTTGCAGTACGACCTTATATATGGCTATACCGAAGTCACCTCCATTGTGATCTGAGTCTTGCTCTTGCATCCTTAAGACTTTTCCCATCTAAACTGAAGGCCTTATTTGGTTCAGCATTTATTCTTAAAGTGAGACTGAGGAACCTGAGGCCCCACTCCTATCTTTTTTCCAGCCAATGGATACAAGATTTCCTTTGTCTGAAGGGCTGAATTGTTCTAAGCAAGCATGATGGAGACCAAGCAACAGTTCCTTGCCAGCACAGTATGTTTTTTTTTAAAATGTCCATTAGATCTATTGAAGGCATTCTTAAAACCTCACTAATCATAGAAGGAAAAAAGATGGTTGCCCGCTGTAGGTTCTTTATCCTTATTCCAATTTTCTGATCATTTTTGTCATCCTTGTTCTCCTGCTGTTATCGCTGTTGTGATGGGACAAAACTTTGTATAGTATTTTAAATGTGGCCCAGGCACAGACTTCTGCTATAGTATTACATTGTCCTTTAATTTTTAGTCTTTTTTCTAAGTAATTTTAGGTACTTTGTGTTCCTTTAAACATCTGATCTGGCATTTTTAGTGAACCTTACTGTAATTTATTTCTAAATCTTCCACAAAAGGTTAAAGCAAGTGTCAGTGTATACATAAAATCAGTATTTCTAAAGAATCTCAAAGGGCATCACTTGCATATAGTTTGAATTGCACTAATGATTCTGTTTCAGAATCCTAAAATCCCTTCATTGTGATGAGATTTCTGTTTGTCCGAATAATCCACTGACTGCCATCTGTAGCCTTGTGTTCATTCAAAGCCTCATTGTTTCTTGAAGGGATCCTTCAGAAAACTATCACTGCTTTTGTACCATGACTGCAATGAGTAATTTATCACTCTCTGAGTAATATATTTCAAGCCTGGGCAACAACTAAACATTATATTAAGTGGAAATTCATAGGCAATTAGGTTGTGGTGGCTACTGTAGACTTTATATTGGAGATAATTAACAGGTCCAATAAGCATTAATTATTTCTTTAAAAGAAAATCTGCAATCTACATTTTAGAAATGTCAGTTGAAGATTATGTCACTTTACAATATATTAAATTGTATGTTTTACTTGTGTTCCTATACTTTGTATTACTTGTATTTTTTGCTTTTCAAATTTTCTCTTCATTTTTCGCAGATATTTTGTATTTATATTTGGAAGTTTTGCCTCTTCCAAGGGAGAGCTCTGTACATTCCTTATAACTTTTAAGGGATTGTACATTAGAGTAATTGATTATTGGGCATTTCATTGTATTAGCTTCTTTTTAAAAATGCAGCTGAGTGATTTCATAAGCAGTGGGCTTTCTAGAGCAGGCTTGCACTGCTTGTTGCCCTCCAGGTGTTTTGAACTGCAGTTCCCAGAATTCCTGACCACTAGAGAAGCTGGGTATTTGGAGTCCCAAACACCTTGAAAACCACAACTTGTGCACCCTGCGCTAGATTAACAAATGTCCTATAAGAATATTTTAAGGTAAGCAGAGGAGACAATGTATAATAAGCAGTGCCAATACTCAAACACATTTCTCTTTCCCTTTAATTTGCAGGCTCAGTTGACTACTTTAAAGATTTTAGGAAATGACACTTTGTTATATCATACCTAATTCTTTATTTAAATAGATTTTACTAAATGTAAATGATACTGCCTCCCCACCATCTCTGCTCATCAGGATTTTGATGGAATATTGCTTACTTGACATGAGAAGGCAGGGTTAAAGAATACCTTCTTTTTCCATTGGTCACCTGAAAATACTGGTTTGCTTGCTATTGCAAATACCGTGGATACTTCCAATGACAAGGATTGAATACATGTCTTAAAATTCAGGATACAAAATGTCTCTTTAATGCTCCTTATTGAACAAACAGAAACACACTGTCTGATCCAAAGCTTAGTTTTATCATTGTGCCATGTTGCCCCTTTGCCTTGAGATATGTTCTGGCTGTGCATATTTAAAGAAACAGCTGAGTTTGAAATTAAATTACTATTGGTTGTCGTTGTATAATTGCTGGTTCTCCTTTTCTGTACCAACCCTTTCCCAGAAGGCAGTAACTCTTGAAATAGACACACCCAGAATAAATAAACTGGTATGTCTTAATCAGTCTGCAAAGATTTTTAACTAAACAAACAAACCCATGTATGCATATAGGGCAAACAGTAAGGATCAATGAACAAGTTCATTGTTTGTTTTAGTGTAGGCCTGAGTAAGAAGTGTCCCAGCAAGGGGAACACAGAGAAGCAGTTCATCTAGGCCTTGATCAGTTTGTTTTTCCAGTCTGTCTGGGAGAGCAGAAACTAGAGGAAGCCAAAAGCCAGAGGAAGCCAAACACCCAGAAATATATAGAGCTGTATCAGAAGTCTTGCATGACTAGTACTCACATTTCTATAGGTACATTAGTCATGTAGTCTTTTATTGGGGGGCTGCAGTCAGCTTAATGGGTCAAAAAGTTGTGAAGCTCAGACATCAAGTATGTAATAAACATGGTTTTCTATGTTAAATCATTGTACCAGAATATCTATGATATTTTTCCTCTTGAAAATCCAAAGCTTACCACTAGGCATTTGTGAGATTATGAAAATAACAAGATTTGACATCCAGTCCTTCTGTGTGATAATTTCTTACAAATCTTATCAGAACTTCTGTGAATAAGGCCAAAGTGCTGTTTGTTAAGAACAGTCACACATACAGTAAAGTCTCGCTTATCCAACATAAATGGGCCAGCAGAACGTTGGGTAAGCGAAAATGTTGGATAATAAGGAGGGATTAAGGAAAAGCCTATTAAACGTCAAATTACATTATGATATTACAAATTAAGCACTAAAACATCATGTTTTAAAACAAATTGACAGAAAAAGCAGTTCAACATGTAGTAATTACCGTATTTACGAATTTAGCACCAAAACGTTGCAATGTATTGATACAGCTGTGAATTTAGGCAGGAGGCAGATTGCTTTGGATAATACAGAATGTTGGATGAGCAAAGGTTGGATAAGCGAGACTCTACTGTACTGTGATATTCTATAAATTATTGCTCAATTGTAATGTTCTTTACTGACGTAATATGATTACTTATATAAAAGTCGTCCTAAAACATATCTTTGCAAATATTTGCACAAAGATGATTATAATTAATAATACTACATGTATTATGTCCTCCATTGTTTCAGTTGCTGTTACTCGTTGATGGGGGAAGAGCTTTAATACCTACTGTTCGCAGTATAGCTGACACTAAATTTATACAATACTGCTTGTTGTACCATTTTCTCACTCTCTGATTGTTAGCAGTGTCTATGCTCCTTTGAGCCAACTTTCTGTGTTAATGTTGTAGTTGCCAAAATGTTTGTGCAATGATATCTAGACACTTCGGTTTTGCAAAATCTTTCTGGGAAATGAGCAACTTTTGTCAATTACTGCATCTGGCCAGTGTGGTCCCTTGTCATGATGGCAGAAAGAGGAAATAATGAAACATAAAACTGACAAGAATCTCTTATTCTTGTAGCTTTTAAAGAATAATGAAGAAGAAGAAGGCTTCAGTTGCTTCTACTGCTGAAAAAGCATTAGTGGTCGTTAGACATCATGCTACTTTAGTAAGATGGCTGTAAAATAAGAATTCTTTTATGGTGTTGCTTTGTAGGTTTTTTTTTTTCATTCTGTCCTTTTGTGTACCATTGCTCTTTGGTTACTAATCCCTCAGATTCTTATATAACAGGGTTGACCTGGTTAAATGCATCACTTAAAAAAAGGAAATTACAAATAAAGGAATATTATTTGGACTGAGAAATGTCAAATGACCTTCTATGGATAATTCTCAGTTATTTGCTTGTGGTATGTAGCTGTTTTAATGGATTATTTTTCCTTTTTGCAGTACAGTATAATTTTGACATTCTAAACTAATACAGATGGGAAGGCTTGTAGATATGCTTAATTACTGATTACCTTGTTAATCCTTTCATTATGTCACCAGTGCATTTAATTCATTAGATTTTTACTGTATTCCCATTCTCCACCTTTTCTGTTTCCATTTACACATGCCAAGCTCCATTACATGTGCCACGGCCTTGCACATGTGTAAGTCTGTTTGAGGTTCCCAGAAGAAGAAGCCAAATATACAGACAGCCTTCCTTTTTAGTTGTAAACCTAACTGAGAAGCTCATTCTTGGCTGTACTTTTGCTTTACCAGTTGTTATAATGCCATCGGCCAGCTGCTGCACACATTTCTTGAATTAACACAGCCCTCACTGTAATTTGGCATCTTACTGTGGCTAAATATACTTTAAACTACAGGCCACAAGGAATGGTGCATTTGGTATCCCTTTTATGGGTAACAAATAAGAGGATCTGAAATGAAAGGGTGTCTTTTTTTGGGGGGGTGGGGTGGAGTCCTCTTGTTCAAACTGCCTTAAATATGGTGTTACAATTATGTATTTATTTATTTATTTATTTATTTACTTACTATATTTATATCCCACTCTTCTCATCCTAAAGGGGACTCAGTGGCCTTACAATTGGCAGCAGTTCAATATAAACTATGTGTTACATCACCCCCCCCCCCCTTGAAAATGTACTTGGCTTGTAAATTTGAAATATGCAAGTGGACAATGTGGCTCATTTCCCCCTATTTCTTGGACTAAAACTGGTTTGTAACATGCAAGTAAAATAATTCTGTGCCTGGGGTAAGAACACACTATATTTCCTTTCTTTACAAGGAAAAGGAAAGAGGAAGATACTCACTTTAAATCAGGCACATAGAACAATATAACATTACAGCTTTCAATATACTTTCTCCTACCTCCTTGGATAAGCAATGACAATTGCAAATAGGTATGTTAGTTTTCTTTGGCATTATTCTTAGTAAAGGAAAGAGGATTGCTCCTGTTTTTCTTTTGCAGTCTCTAAGATTATGTGTCAGCTGCAAGGCTGCATTATCTTTTCTCCTGAATGAATTATTTGGTCAGACATATGATTTAGTTCTCTTGGTTGTGGACAGTAGAGCAGCCAGATCAAACACTGCTCATATTGTAATTTGTTCTGCTGAACATTTGCACGTAGTTTGGAGTTCATTGGGTAGTTCTCGTACTCTGTATCTCTCTGGAACTCTCCTTTGTCAAGAAGCAGAATTTGCTTTAATCCATGAAAATTTCTTTGGGACATTATTTGCTGTTTTGTTTTTTCATTTTCTATAGCAGCCAAGTGTGTCACTCTCATCTTAGTATCTTGATTATACCACTACTGTTTGTAATAGGAAAAAAATAGAAAAAAATCTATGAACTCCCTGACTTTATCAGCATCCTATGATGGCCATTGCATAAGACCATAGTCCGCTTGAAGTTTAATCTCCTATTCTTCCACCTTTTTCTTTGCTTGGTGCTTTCAGTCTGTCATGTTCTCCACGCTGATACATGAGGCCGTTCCTCTGCCAGGACTGAGCATGGTTGCATACTCTTTCCTCATATGTTCTGCAATCATTTCTTATGCGTGGACCGCTGGTCGAACCTGAATCTTCCTGCTCTTTTTCTTAGGGCTTCCACTGCAGCACTGGCCACAGCAACAACTGCATGCGATGATGATCATCAAAAGTACTACAGCTGACATATAAAGTAAAAGGAAAGCAAATTAGCTTTTGGAAATGCTAAGTAGAAGGCGAAGCAAAGCTGTGTCTTGAATATATTAACAGAAAAGGGACATATAATAATAAGAAGAATAAGAATAGTAATAATAATATTTATTTTTAGGCCATCCTATCTCCCCTGGGGGACTCAGGGCAATTTACACATACAAAGGCAAATATTCAATGCCTGGCATAAACCAAAACATTACAGCAATAAACATAATATGGAATAATATGAGCATTGTACTAATCAAATGAAATTATCTATATATATATATGTAAAACATAGAACAACTAATCATTAAACAATTATATTTCAAAGCATGGTTGTTTGTAGCTTTTAAATATATTTCCTTTCTTTTGAAATTAGTAATGCAGTATTATTGGTGGGCCATGCAAGAACTGCAGAGTACATGTGACCAAATTATGGTGCAAAGATTATCTGTTTTTAGTTGTTTTTAGGAGCCTAATTTCTTGCTCCTAGAAAAACATTAACTTGCCTACTTTGGTCTGCATGCCATAGGGATTGTGGCAAGAGAAATTTCAGAAGGTATACATGATTAATTCTCAGGATCAGTGTTAATGCATCCAGCAAAAGCAAGAAGGAAGATGTGGTAAAGGAAAGGACCACCAGATTCATTAGGACCTATAAATTAGACAGCATAACTGGATGAATAAGACTTGGCATTGAAAAGATGTAGAAAAAGGTTGAGGAAAAGAGGTCCTTTTAGGGCTGTTGTGGGCAAGTGTGGAAGTCTAGAGCACTGTTTTTAAACTGGATCCTGACCCTAAATGGGATCCTTTTAGCTCAGTGTTGGGATTGCAAAAAGCCTAGTGGCTGTTTTAGACATTTACATGAATCTGTTAGCAACATTATGCAGTGTTTACAGTGGATTCTGCAGAATATGCTTCAGCTATACTTCATAAATGGGAAAATCAGCCTGTTTATCAAGAGTTGCAAGTGCTGATTTATTAGTAGTAAATGTATATTTTTATACCTGTTTTATACACCTATATATATCAGGCAGAAAAGGGTCTCAGGTGGAAAATGTTTTAAGAAGCCCTGATCTACAGGATGCATTTGTTCCCCATGGAGTCCTTAGTGGACTACATACCCTCTGTAATTGCTCAGAAGTGCCTTCCATGACCTTTACCGATTGGGGGAGGGGGGGAGGTGGGCTTTCTCGGCCACTATGAGACATTTTGATGTGAATTTTTAAAAATCACAAGAATTGTTTTGCCTTCTGGTTTCCTCCCAACATGGTTAAAATTGTCATGGCATCTCAGGAGTTCCTGAGAGCTGCAAAAGAGGATCTAGGGAACTGCATACAGCCTACAGGGTTGGGAAAATGATGGCAGTGAATAGGGATGAGTGAGAAAATTCCATCTGCCTGACCAGGTGCCCTATCCTATAGTTTGAGTGTGTTTGCCTGAAGCTAGGTATGTGCGACAGATTAAGCACTCTGTTGGTGTACCGCCTACTCTGCTGCTCAACACCCTGCTGCTGGAAATCTTGTGGTTGATGGTAGAATCCTCTTGGCTTCTATTGTGGGGGTGTTTCAACATTCATGCTGAGTGTCCTCTCAGCAGCAGTTCAGGAATTAATGTCTGCCATGAAAACAATTGATTTGTCCCAAGAGATATCTGCCCTACGCATGCTCCTGGAGACACTCTTTTTCTTGTTTTTTGTAGTGAGTGTAGCAAATATGATGTGGGTGTATAGGAACTACATTATCTAGAGCTGTATGGTGATGGGCTGATCACCATCTGCTGGGGTTTAGACTTGCTAAGATTCAGTGGTGGAGTACCCATTAAGATGGTCCACCCCAGGATCTTATAAATCCAGATGGATTTCTGGTGGCTGTTGTGGAGTCTCCTGCTGTCTTGATAGGTAATTTTGTAAAAGTTCTGACTGGCATGCAGAAATGGTTAGTATGGTGGAGATGATCTTGCTAGGGCAGTGTTTCTCAAACTGCTCTTCCAGATGTTTTGGACTTCAGCTCCCACAATTCCTAACAGCTGGTAAGATGGCTAGGATCTCTGGGAGCTGAAGTCCAAAACACCCGGAGGAGCAGAGTTTGAGAAACACTGTTCTAGGATATCCCCTCTCATAGAGCAGAGCCAAAATGGACTCCTATTTTTCCAGGAAGGTGATGGTGATGTGAGAAAACAACTAGTGTGACATTGGCAGAAAACTCAGAGCACATCTGATTGAATACAGGGTAAAACATATCTGGGGGCTAACTCTGGAGCAATACCAGCAGCAAAGACAAAGTTTCTTCTCTGGATCTATTATGTATGCAGGAAGCTGGCCAAGAGAGCTGTTTCAAGTGGTCAGGGCAATCCAGATGACAGGACAGTTTACTAAGAATAACGTGCCTAGTACTTTACAGATACTTTTTTTAAGATGCACTCTTACTTGGGACAGATTCAAACTTCTAAGCCATCCTCAAATCTCACCATTCCGGATTGTTCTTGGCCAGTCTCTAACACTCAATTTTTTAGCTAAGGTTCTGAAGTATTTAGTGGCCTCCCAGCTGACAGGGATTTGTGGATGAAAAAGATTTTCAAGGTATATTTCAAACTAATTTTGATCCTGGTGATTGGACATAAATGGCTTAGGTTGCCTTGGTGGATGACCTACCCTGGAGGCTAGATGGGGGAGTTTGTCCTTGGTTCGGGTGAACCTCTCAGTAGCTTTCAGTACCATGGTATCACTAAGGGTCACCTTGCTGGGATGGGACTTCGCACTATTTTTCCTTGATGGAGGGGCAAACCGAGAATGTTTGACTCCCTGACCATTGTCCCCCAGAGTTTAGTTTTATTCACCATGCTATTTAACATATATATGAAATCACTGGGGGAGGTTGGTTGGAAATGTGGGGTTCAGAGTCTTGGTCTATCCAACTCTATCTTTAGAGGGCGTACAATCTTTCTACTATAAACCAAGGAAGCTGTTTGGGTCTTAAACCAGTCCCTATCATCAGTACTGGACTGGATAAGGGCAAACAAATTGAACCGTAATTCAGACAGGATGGAGATACTCCTAGTCTCTTCCTCCCCTCTCCATTCTCCAAAGTACATATAGTAGGACCGTGGGAGATGGCTTTATCAGTTATTGCCCCTGGCTCTGGAACTCCCTTCCCAGAGAAATTAAACTGGCACTCTCCTTACTTTCTTTTGGCAGATAAATAAAGTCTTTTCTGTTTAGACAGGCATTTGATAGACTGACTGCATAATGTGCTGTGTTTTGCTAATTGTTGTGCTGGGGCATGTTTGCATTTTAATTATATATGCTTTAATCTGGTCTTAAATTTTTGATTGTTTGATCTCATTTTAACATTTGTATCTTGAGAATTTTTAATGGTTCAATTTTAAATTTGTTGTAAACTGCTTTGAGTCCAAAGCTGGGGAGAAAATGGGATAGAAATAAATATAAATGCCACCAACACCACAACATTGTAATTTAGATTTCTATTTTCATAAATATGGAGATCTCCCATGCCATTCAGCTGATAAAATTTTGAGTAGTTCCTCTTGCTACATTCACAAGTATAGAGTGCTTACATAATCATGAGGTAGATTTTACCAGTATAAATCTGTATTGAATAGTACGTTTTGCACTAATACACTTTAATCATGTTAATATTCTTGAGAGAACAAAAGAAATAGCAGAGCTCCCAAAGAGCTTATTGTTGATTTGCAAAACAGAGTAGGCCCATCTGATAAGTCTAGTGAGTTGCAAACATATAGAAAAAATGTACTTACCAATGAATAAGATAATGACAGAAAAGGACACAATTTCAACTGGTTCAGCCTTGGGTAGTCTCTGGAGTTTGAGCCATAGCTTGTTACCAATAGCATAGAGTTCATTCTGAAAGTCTTTGTAAGACATTGTCTGGATCAGCCCACGTTTTGTGACACTGGGACACAAAAGAGTGAGAAGTAAGAAGAATATATGCTAGAGTATTGCTGTTAGCCTCACTTTATGAACACCAAACAGCAGTTTTCTTTGTTGTTAAGTCTAGCTCACCAGCAAAACAAGTTTATCGGGGCTCTGCCCTTGGATTCCAGTCACATGCCGCTCCTCTGGAGGAGGCTTATTAGATGATACACATGTAATGTATATTCAAACCCAGCAAAAGCTATTGTCGAAGGTTTTCATGGCCAGAATCACTGTGGGTTTCCATGGCTGAGCAGGGATTCCAACCCTGATCTCCAGTGTTGTAGTCCAATGCTCAAACCACTATACCTCACTGGCCTGAAAATTCTTTTTTTAACTGTACAAAATATAATAAATACTTTTTTAATTTAAATAGATTGTTTACATCGAATACTCCCATGTACAAGCCAGTGTAACTAAACCGTGTGTCTTCTACATTGGCAGCACCCTGAGATGAAAAGCTGGTTCTTAACTAGATGAGAAGATTCTTTTGAATCTTCCATTAAGGAAGTAACCAGCTAGGTGTCTAGTCAAGCAGAGATGACTTGTCCTATCTCAGTAGAAAGCTAGCACTTTTAAAAGTCTGTCTCACATGATCTGCATGAAGTGCTATACTGAACACCATTCTATGTTCTAAGTTTCATTCCACTGAGACAGATGGATTTACTTTTGTTCTAGAGTTTCTTAGATTCCATCTTCTTCATGACATGATCTCAAGGTTCTAGCAGTAAATAATAGCACTTACTGGTACCATTATGAATTAAGACAAGCATCTTTTTAGGGGCATTTTAAACTACAGCTCAAAAATATATTGGATTTTATTTTCAGAAGGTTGGATCCTGACACAGCGTGCATCTACACTGGAGAATTAAAGCAGTTTGACACTATTTTAACTGCCATGGCTTCGCATTATGGCATTCTGAGATTTGTAGGTTTTCAAAGTCTTTAGCCTTTTCTGTCAAGGAGTGCTGATGACTCACCAAACTGCAAACCTCATACTTCCCTACCACCGAGGCATGGTAGTTAAAGCGATGTCCAATTGCATTAATTCTGCAGTGTAGATACACCCTAATCATGTTTAGTCATTCACCTATTGAAACTAATGGGATTTAAAGTAGGCATTTCTAATTTAAGTGCTCATTTAATTGTTCTATTTTGTGTGAACAGTTATTTTCTACTCATTCTTTATTATCCTTCGGATGGAAATTGACTGAAAAACAAAAATGTGGAAAATAGTTTTTGCTGTATTCAGGCCACATCTATACAGAGATGTGTGTGTATTTTCTCATCTTAATTGCAGCAGTTAATTGACTTGTTAGTGCAAAGTTTGGAACGCTTGAACCAATTTTTCACAGCAACTTAACATTCTTTCAGCATAAGGAGGTTGTGGGTTGGGCAGAAAGTCCTGTTGAAAGAATTAGGCCTCCAGGGTTTGGTGAAAAACAGTGTGCCACTGCATTGGTTAGGAAAGATTTTAGTTCACAAAAGGACTCATTATATATAGGAATGATATTAATTGCAACTACAGTTAAAGGATAATGCATTTTATCTGAACAGAATAAATGCTGCAGGGTTTCAGTAGAAAAATTAGAATTCTGTGCAAGAACTTGCACTTTTTTGTTTCAAAGCTGTTGCTTCTGTTAGCAGAGGCAATTTGTGGAAGTGCAGTTTTAGTAGAAAGGGATCGTGATCCAGTTCCAATGAATGGCTTTTCCATTCAGCTGGGAAGGGGAACTGTGTCATTCTGAACTTGTTCTTCTCCCGCCTAGTAAAGTAGTATAAATGAGGAGAACTGTTAAAGAAATTCTTTAAAAAGTTCATGTTCACATGTCTTCCAGCATGGTGTTAGGCTAAGTTGACTGTCTTGTCACAGATAAAGGACTCTTTTGCACTCTAGAAGCCTAGTACTTAGCACTTCAGTACTACTGTAATTGCCACTGTCTTACCTCTGTCCTGTAGAATCCTGGGATTTGTTGTTTCATGAGGTATTTAATTATCTTCCAAGGAACTCTAATGCCTTAATAAATTACAAATCTCAATTCCATATTATTTATCAGTGACATTTTATTTTTGGCTCTAAGAAATCCGCTCAGCCCTTTTATGCTTTCATTTTCATGCTACTTTATAGGCAGAGGTAATCCAGTGCCATAAAAAAAGAATATCTAATAGGCATAATGCTTTGTGTAACATCTTTTTAATGAACATGGAAAAATCCAGCCATTAAGTTAATAGCTCATATTCGCAAGAGAACCAGCTTTGGCTCTTCTCTTATCAGTCTACCCTTCTCCATTTTGGATAAGCCACTGCCCAGCCAAATAGCACTCCAGTTCCTTTGGAAGTTAATTACAGCTCATAGCAACCTTGGCATTTTTTCTGTGCAATTGTATAATGTAGTAATGGTTGCAAACTTGCTTTTCCGGTATGCCATTCTTGTCAGTTGATGATGGATTGCAGGTGAATTTTAAAAGGGCATTATCTGTTGTTAAATGCTTTTAAAAATTGCTTCCATCTGGATCCTGACAGCATTGCAGACACTTTCTTCCCAGAAAGTGTTCCAAAGAAGGAATGTCATACAATTTTCCTTTCATGTGGTACATGAAAGCAATGTGATGATTTTGTGAGCCTTAGACTTTACTTCTCAGAACAATGTTGTATGGGGTTCTCCACCCTCCCTTTAATAGATGGTCAGAGACTCATAATTGCTCTTTGCTTCTATTTCCACACTGGAGTCCCCAGTCACTAAACTTCTAAATTACACCTTTCTGATACTTAGCGACATTCTATGGTCTTAAACATTGAAAAGAGAATAGTTCTTTTGCTTCTGGTAAGCCTACTGTAATAAACGCTTAAATTTAGCTATTTATTCTGAAGGTGAAAAAACAAACCTCACATTCCTTATGCTTAACAAGTGAGGGCCAAATAAATTTCTATGATACTGAGTTATATTTACCAGTATACCCGTGTGCCTTTATCCATCTGTCCTGGCAGCAGCTGAATGCTAAAATATTGAACAGAATTACCTATTATTGATCTTTACAAGCCACTTTCATCCACTATGGTTGGCAATGACTGTCTAGAATTACAGCCAGAATTAATTTCTAGTCCTGTTTGAAGATCCCAGGTATTTTTTTATGATCTACCAATGACTTATTAGGAAATATAGCAATGTTTGGTAAGGTGAAAGGCAGTAAGAAAAGAGGAAGACTGCATTGTAGGTGGATACATGAAGCCATAGCCCTGAGTTTGTGGTTGATGACAGGGTGACTTTGAGGTCTCTCATTCATAGGGTTGCCATAAGTCATAGTCAGCTGGTGGCAGTTGACAACAACAAACTGCCCAAAGAGTGCCTAGCCCTGATCCTGTTCAACTTTTGAACTGTAATGGAATTGAGTGTGTTCAGGGGTGACTAAACAAATCTTTGGCTTTTTGATAAGAAAGTCGGCTCATGGGGCAGCTCCTGAAGATTTTCTATAGCACAATAAACATGTCAATATTTTAGGGGTATTAGTTACTTTTAACAAGCAGACATGATTAGCCAGTGTATTTCAGTTGGTAACTTTTCTTGATATTCCAATACTGTCATTGTGCCAGTTTAAAACACATTGGACAGCATGATCCTTTGGACAGAATGTTTGTCATGGTCTTGGTGAACTGAATGCAAATCATGATTACCCAGAAGGTAATAACCAAGACACTTGTGAAGATTAAAATTAATACATTAAGAAGGCTGCAAAATACTTCTTCGTTGTTGTTGTTGTACTTTTAATTACCACTTTTGGTGGGAGGAGAACCATAAAATAGCTTCCAGATTTAGAATGAGAACACCAGTATTTTCTGTCTTTTAGGAAAATAATTAGAGTCCCATTATGTGGGTGGGGCTTTGGCACTCTCTATGGCTCTTTGAAGGTCTAGCTTTCACATTGCGGACTGGAATAGATTTGTGGACCTGTGAAATGGAATCCTGTTGTGAAGAATTAGCATTTATGCAGAAAGCGAAACATCTCAAAAGATGGTTGTGGCATGGTTCTCATTCAAAGAAGAAGCAGCTTCTTTGTCTCAGGGGTAGTTTGTTCTTGTAGTACATGAATTCATTAGGAACAGAACAATTTCCCTTTTATTGGGCCCAGGGTATTGGCCTGTCTACAGTCAGCCCTTCACATTAGTGGGAGTTTGGGGCACAAGACCTCTGTGAAAGTGCAAAAAATGTCAATGAAACAACAAAACTTTTCTTTTAACCTGAGAAAATATCTTTCTAGAATTCTGTAGCTCCTTCAGTGGAACTCAGTGATCACCTTTTGCCAGATGTTGATCATAGAGGTATTCCTAAAGAAGTATTCTCTAGGAATATGTAGATCCCCCAGGGTCAGCTTCTGATAGAAGCAGATTATAGTTGCACAGGAGGACATAGAAATTACTATGGAGAATATTTTCATGAAATTCATGAACAATCAAACCCTTAAACGTGAAGGGCTAACAATTGTTGAAGACTAATTGTCAAAGTTGCCATAGGTTTTTGTGCTGTGCGTTTTCCCGCAGACAAAATGTTAACTCTGCCACTAAGCTACTATTCTTGTTATAAATTTAAATGGATTATAAGAAATAGAGTTTAAGCTGTCTTGGGAGAGGCAGAACACAGACAAATTAAAAACACGTTTTTTTTCCCAAGCACATTGTGTAAAAAATTATATCAAAGAGGCCTATAGCATGTCCTTTATATAATTGGTTTTATAGAGAAGCATCCCCATTAAGTAGCATTCATCTGTACCTCCTCTCTAGGTTTTTCCTAATATATTTCTATGGCATGATCACCTAATAAGATTTTCTGAATGTGAAAAATATTTTTCTTAGAACCTCTGTAGTCTGTAGTCTGTCTCAATCTTTTTTTTTTACTGCTAAGGGAATGCCGAGTGAGCCCTCATGCTTCCCCTGTAGTAAAATTTATCCTTTTATCTGTGGGCATGGTGCAGTTGTGATAACAAA